TGTCCTTATTGTGCATAGCTCCAGATATAAAAATTAAAAAGACTTTGCCTACTTTAAGTAAAACTTTTTAATAATTTATGTTTCATTAATTCACACTGCTTTTCTCATCAACTTTGCCTAAAAAATAATGTTTTATGCCTTTCTGTAAAGTTGAATTATACCAATTCTCTAAATATTGTCAGAATTCTGTTTAAATTCAAAAAATAAAATGTACTGGCCTCAGCGTCTCACACCTATAATCCTGGCACTTTGGGAGGTTGAGGCAGTCAGATCATTTAAGGTCAGGTGTTCGAGACCAGCCTGGCAAACATGGTGAAACTCTGTCTCTACTAAAAATACAATGGAATTATCTGGGCGTGGTGGCACATGCCTATAATCCCAGCTACTTGGGAGGCTGAGGCAGTAGAATCATTTGAACCTGGGAGGCAGAGGTTGCAGTGAACTGGGAACATACGACTGCACTTCAGCCTGGTGACAGAGTAAGACTTCATCTCAAAAAAATATTAATTTTTAAAATAAATAAAATAAAAATAAAATGGATGGTGCCGAAGTGATTATATGGTATGAAGGACAATATATACTCTTTAAAGGAGACTTGGCCAGGCATGGTGGCTCACACCTGTAATCCCAACACTTTCACAGGCCAAGGTGGGAGGACTGTTTGAACCCAGGAATTAAAGACCAGCCTGGGCAACATAGTGAGACCCACATCTCTACAAAAATAAAAAAATTAGCTGGGTGTGGCAGCACGGGCCTGTAGTGCAGCTACTTAGGGGGTTGAGGTGGAAGGATCACTTAAGCCCAGGAGGCCAAAGCTTTAGTGAGTCATGATCATGCCATTGCACTCCAGTCTGGACAACAGAGCAAGACCCTGTCTCAACTAAAAAAAAATCAGCCAGGCATGCTGGTCCACACTTGTGGTCCCAGCTACTCTGGAGGCTGAGGTGAGAGGATTACCTGAGCTGGGGAAATTGAGGCTGCAGTGATCACGCCAACCTGAGTGACAGAGACTCTGTCTCCAAAAATTTAAAATAAAATAAAGGAGCCTCTATATGTGGGTATAGATAAGACTCTATTTTTCTTTTTTTTTGAGATCGAGTCTCACTCTTGTTGGCCATGCTGGAGTGCAATGGTGCAATCTTGGCTCACTGAAAGCTCCACCTCCCGGGTTCAAGCGATTATCCTGTACCAACCTCCCAAGTAGCTGGGATTACAGGTGTGCACTACCACGCCTAGCTAATTTTTTGTATTTTTAGTAGAGACAGGGTTTCACCATGTTGGTCAGGCTGGTCTCCAACTCCTGACCTCAGGGGATCCACCTGCCTCGGTCTCTCAAAGTAAAAAAGACTCTTTTTAAGAATAAGTTTCAGAATCAAGAAGGGGCAAGGGGAGGCATTAGAAAGCAGGAGTATGAGGAAACTTTATCGGGTGACGAATATGTTCATTCTTGATTGCAGTAAAGGTTCACAGGTCTATAGACATGTCAAAACTTAATAAATTATACACTTTAAATATATGCAGGTTATTGTATGCCACTTATACCTCAATACTACTATTAAAAAAATAAATAAATTTCTGAGGCCTGAAAACCGAAACAATAGTATAACAATACTGTCTCCAAACAGTCCCAGAAAAAGACTGAGATACTATATAATGCAATGAAAGGTTTGAGGATATAAGCAAGTGACTGATTCACAATTCCCTTCAGAAAAATGGCACAGGATTGCAGAAATTAGGTGGCAAAAATGCCAAATTGAGAACACAGGAATCTGCTTTGCCTAGAGCCCCTTTCACTAATTCAGTTCATGTGCTCAGCATGTGTTCAGCATGTGCTGAGGCAGGGCTGGAAGAGAAACCACAGTCATACCAGGCAGACACCCAATCTCAGAAGTCATAAACTGACCACCCCATCAGGCATCACTGACATGTTTGGTTTGGTCCTCACTGTTGGAAAAATAATCTTTTTTAATTAGTTGCCAGCATCTAAAAATTCAGAGATCTCTTCACCCAAATTCTGAATGTTTTATTTTTCTCAAAATATCAAAAGATCTGGTAACACTTAGGCTCATGTTTCCAACCTAGCAATAGGCCAGGCACTCTGTTCAGTCACGGACCACTGGACTCAGTCTTCCTATCGTTCTGTCTCTGGCAGCTTCACCCATTTATTACAATGCTTTGATACTATCTCGGGGCTCATCCCCCACATGAAAGTCAACTGCCCTTAATTAGAGGTGTAACTCTCACTACAAAGGGTAAGGAACTATCCTACCTAAGCAACCAGTGGCAGCCAACAGAAGGCTAGACTCAAGCATACCTTTTTAGAGAAAGATCAATAATAAAAACAAATCCTGAAAACTGGTTCTTGGGGCATTAGTTTACAACTTCAATGGAGAAGCTTCTGACAGAGAGAATTTCCCTACTGAAGATCCTTCTCAGCTCCAACCCCCTCACCCTTCAAACACAAATGCATACACAGTCCCAGCTCCCTCCCTAGCCTTCCCCTCCCTCATTCTGCCAGGTAATGGAATGGTAACAGGATTATTTGTCATCCTGCCTCCAGCTTAAGATAAAGAAAACATTCTTTAAAAAAAAAAAAAAAAAAAAAAAAAAAAAAAACTTGTTTAAAGGCAAAGTCCCCAAGGTATAATCACACATATTATTACAGGTCAAAAGGGGTCAGAAACCTATACTCATTCAATGAATAAACAACCAATATTTTATTTAATCATTATATAATAAAAGCATTAATATTAAAAAGGTTCAAGGTAAGATTTGTTATCACTATTACTTGACATTTTTCTAGTCAATGCATAAAATAATAGAAAGAACTATCACAAAGAAGTCAATTTAAAAAACAATAAAAAATAAACCTCTTAGTATGCATGCAGACGACCTCATTCCTACAAGACCCAAGAGAAACTACTTTGTATTTTTAGTAGAGACAGGGTTCCATGAAAACCAATATGTGAATTCAACAAGGTGACTGAATGGTCACAAAATTAATATATAAAATTACAAGTGTTCATGTCAGCAATAATCATAGAAGAAATAGGATGAATTAAAATTGAAACATAATAGCAAACAAAAAAATTAAATATACTCAGGAACAAAACCAACTAAAGGTGCTAGCACAGTCATATTATCCTGGAGAGGGAGACTTCCTGAGGGCTGATCAACTATATAATCACTACCTAGAGAGTGGGGCTGGACTCTACCACAAAAGATTGATCCTCTCCTCTGAAGTATCCATAAGCCACCCTGTCAAAGTTCAGCCTGCACATGGCCCAAGAGGAAATCATGGCTTGTTTCCCCAGTGACACTCTGGACCTGATCAAAACCTACACCTTCCGGGCCCAGTTCTGAATTATAGGACTCAAATCCAAATTGTTCATTCCTCAGAATGCATACAGGAAACAGAACCAGCCAGCAGGGAATCAGTATTTATCGTTTTTTGGGAATCAAGTAAAATGTTAAGTAGAGAAACTTACCTGTTTTCTAAAAAAGGGATTTCAAGGAACTCTTTAAAAAGCTTTTGACAGAGCCCAGGCGTGGTGGCTCACGACTATAATCACAGCTCTTTGGGAGGCTGTGACAGGCAGATTACTTGAGGTCAGGAGTTCAAGACCAGCCTGGGCAACATGGCCAAACCTTGTCTCTACTAAAAATACAAAAATTAGCCAGGCGTGGTGGTGGACACCTAAAATCCCGGCTATTACTTGGGAGGCTGAGGCATGAGAATTGCTTGAACCAGGAGGCAGAGACTGCAGTAAGCCGAGATTGTGCCACTGTACTGCAGCCTGGGTGACACAGAGAGACTCTGTCTCAAAAAAAAAAAAAAAAAAACACAGTTTTTGACAGAGAACTTTACTAATTGTAAGTATGGAAGTAAATAAGTACACAGGCCTTTTACATTATTATTACTGAACAGAACCAAAAGAAAAAATATACGTATTTTAGATCAGGCATGGGAGTTCACGCCTGTAATCCTAGCACTTAGGAAGGCCGAGACAGGCAGATCACTTGAGGTCAGTAGTTCGAGACCAGCCAGGCCAACATGGTGAAGCCCCATCTCTACTCAAAATACAAAAATGAGCTGGTACAGTGGCATGCGCCTATAGTCTCAGCTATTCAGGAGGCTGAGGTGCAAGAATCACTTGAACCCAGGATGTGGCAGTTGCAATGAGCCGAGATTTGCACCACTGCACTCCAGAAGAGAACAAGACTTCATCTCAAAAAAACAAAAAAAAAAAAATTTTAGGGTCGAGCACAGTGGCTCACACTTGTAATTCCAGGACTAGGAGGTTGAGGCAGGCAGCTCACTTGAGGCCACGAGTTTGAGACCAACATGGCCAACATGGCGAAACCCCGTCTCTACTAAAAATACAAAAAACTTAGCTGGGTGTGGTGGTGCACACCTGCAGTCCCAGCGACTAGGGAGGCTGAGGCACAAGAATCGCTTGAACCTGGGAGGCAGAGGTTGCAGTGAGTCAAGATCACACCACTGCACTCCAGCCTGGGGAACAGAGTGAAACTCTGTCTCAAAAAAAAAAATTTTGAAATATGTTTATATTAATAGAAAATTCCCAATTAATACTGTCCTCAATATTTCAGAATTTGTGATTGTTTATGGTTTGGTTTCAAGACCATCTTTTTACTCTCTAGACGAAAGTAGTTTCCTAAGAAAATTAACAGTGTAAACAAATGATTTGAAGCACCACAGAAACATCTGTTTACATTCAGATAATTAATATGCTAATTTTTATCTGTTAAATTAAAGCAGGTTACCTAAGAGCTTTTCAAAATAATATTTATTTAACCTAATAATAATGAGTATATGTAGTTGAAGTAATAAATTGGACATGTTTTAAGACATCCTTCAATTTCAGCCTTCTACTAAATCAAGCCAATTTTCATACTTTACTTTCAATTATGGAGGTTTTACATATCAACAAAACAAAACTCTATTGAGATAGAAAACAAACAAATATATCCAGTATTACCTTTGATAGTTTCCATTCCCAACTATCACCTATCTGTTGTGAATGTTTAATGAATTCTGCACAACAACGTTGAAATGTTTTTTCTCCAATGAACTCATCTTCTTCCATGTTAAATAACTGCAATATAAAAACTAAGTATTAGCATAAACTTTAGAATGATATCGAAAGGAATTCTGCTAATTTATTTATTTCTGGCAATAAACCAAAATTTGGGATGTAGAATGGAAAATAACCTCAAGGCCACTAAAAAATGGTTTTGGCCAGGCGTGGTGGCTCACACCTGTAATCCCAGCAATTTGGGAGGCCAAAGCAGGAGGACAGCTTGAAGCCAGAAGTTCAAGACCAGCCTGGTAAACATAGCAAGACTCCATCTACATAAAAACTAAAAAATAAGTTAGCCAGGCATTGTGGTGCACACCTGTAGTCTCATCTATTCAGAAGGCTGAGGCAGGAGGATCGCTTGAGACCAGGAACTCAAGGCTACAGTTAGCTATAATCATGCCACTCTACTCCAGCCTGGGTGATATAGTGAGATCCCATCTCAAAAAAAAAAGCATTGTTGTTTTTCTATCTTTCTCACCTTATCCCCATTTTTGCTGTTGTTGTTTTTATTTTTGTTGTTGTTTTTGAGACAAAATTTCGCTCTGTCACCCAGGCTGGAGTGCAATGGCACAATCCTGACTCACTGCAACCTCCACCTCCCAGGTTCAAGCAATTCTCCCACCTCAGCCTCTCAAGTAGTTGGGATTACATTTGCATACAACCACATCCAGCTAATTTTTGTATTCTTATTAGAGACAGGTTTCACCATGTTGCCCAGGATGGTCTTAAACTCCTGACCTCAAGCAATACGCCTGCCTTGGCTTCCCAGAGTGCTGGGATTACAGGTGTGAGCCACCGCACCCAGCTTGTTTCTGTTTTTATATTCCTGTTTCTATATCTTTGGTGCTTAGCATAGTAAACATTCCAGATGCCTTTTTTCAACTGAATTAAAATCACATAAACTGCAAGGATTTTAAACCCATCTGGCTCCAAGGCCAATGACCTGTCTATACTAGCTAATTCTGATTATTCAAATTTAGTATAATCTATGCAAGAATTTGCTCATTCATCCAACAAATACATATTGAATATCTACTAAGTAGCAGGCACTGTGAATAAGTAAAGGTTAGGTATACAACAATGAAAAAATTAATAGTCCTTGCCTTGTAAGAGCTCATATTCTAACAAAGGGAGATAAAAAATGCAAATATTATAGTAGAAACTCTCTTATCCAACCTCCATTTAACCAACTTGCCAGATTAATCAACACTGACTCAGGTCTACAGCATGCTGCTCATGAAGCACCTCTGCTCCCATCAGTTAACTGTGTGTTCACAAACCATGTTCTCATATCATAAATACATACTATAATTAAATGCTAAACCAAAAACATAAAAGTAAAAAAGAAGTACAACTGTTATTTCTATAACCAATTACCTTGAAAAGACTCAATAAAAGTGAGTCTATGAAAAATAAACTGCTATTGAACTAGATATGGACAATACAACTGAAAAGACTGGTGGGAGATAGGGAAGAGAAAAGATTCCAAGCTTTCTGCCTTTAGGTGGTGGTAAATTGAGTTAAGACAGAGGTCTCTGGAAGAATAGCAGTTTTGGGAAGAGAGATGGGTTTAATTTGGCCATACTGAGTTTGAATTTGAAATGCACATGGAATGCCGAAGTAAAGGGGTCTAGCAGGCATTTTTGAGGTGTGTCTTCAACTCAGAAGGAAAGAGAAATCTGAGCTGGAAATACTGATTCTACATCAACATTACGTAGACGGTAACAGGACCCATTTCATCAATCAGCAAGAGAACACAAAACTAGAATAGGAAGAGAAGACTGATATGGTGCAGCCAGAGGGAATTTTTCCAACTGTATGATGTCCCTGACATATACTGAAAGATACTAAATCAAAGAAAAATTAACTTTCATTCATAAAGAATACTAATATACTTAAATTTTTAAAATTCTAACAAACTCTTACTTAATAACAAAACTGAACAAAGTAAGCCTAAGCCCTCCAGTTACTTGAGGTTTACTGAAGTATTGAAAATACTTAAACATAAAATTTCACTCAATAGCCATAGTTTATCTAATTAACAGCACTGTGCTACAAGCAAGATGACTGAACATCAAAACACTAATTAATATTTGGTTGAATACTTTTTAAATTATCTAAGGACTAGGATTGCTGAAGGATGCTAAATACAATAATACAAACACTTACGGCTTGATTACAAAATTAGGAAGTATACTATGCTAAAAAGATATCCATCTCAACTCGATTCATCATAATGTATCATAATGAAATATCATGGAATAATTATTGTTTCTTTGCTCAAGCAAGAATATTTCAACTCAAAAATGTAAATATAATTCAATCAACATTTTTATACATACTTTTCAAGTTGTAATACTTTCTGGTCCTCTCCCAAGTTCATAAACTACTAGAGGCAGAAATTAGAATCTGAGAACTTCCTATTATGAGATGGCTGAAAATATGGCTAAAAATGGAAATAACCACAAATGTGGTTTATTAAGCAATAATGGCAAGAATAATCCTTATTTTGCAAATGAAAAACCTTAAACATGTGAACTGCCTATGTTTCCAGACTTAAGTTATCTTAAACTAAATTCAGACTAGAGATGACGACAGTCACTCAAATGAACTCTCAGTAAAAAGATGAATTTCAATTCTCATCTCATCCTAAACAATGACCCTCTCATGTCTTGTTGTTAGTAAAAGTTAGAAATGTCAGCACTCCTCGTGTCATAAAGTATAAGTTGTTAATACATCTATTTTGCTTTAGTCTTACTTTGGCTAAAGAGCTATTTGATTTTTTTTTTTTTTTTTTTTACATTCAATCAAAACCTTTTTCTAACTGCTTTAGCAGAGACTAAAGATTGGAAAGACAGAATAATTTTCCTCACCAAGTGAGGGTAGTCTTTCCAAACTATAAGTTTGCCCTTAGACTAGAAGCATAGAAGAAGCTTATTCTGCTGCTGTTCACGTATATCTTTCCAGAAAAGCAGCCTCAGTGAATTCTAACACTGTATATAATCATTGTTTAAATGATCCTTTTTAATTGAAAACAATTTTTTCACTACCACTCTCCATATTTTTTAATGTGATTTTTAATCTAATGTGTGTGAAACTAATTCTTTGTTATTTTTTTTGTTGGAGACATTGTTTTTGATGAATCTATAAATCAATGTATATCAGAGTCATAATGGGACTAAAACAATATAAGAAATATAACTAAATTTCCCGGAACTTAAGATCATTTACAAAAATGTGATTACCACAGAACATGTTATACATACATTTAAACATTAAAAATCATTTTTGACTAATAAAGTAGGCAACTTCCTGAATACTTGTCCCTTCTAGCAACAATTCCACATTATTTATAACTCTAAGTGTAGACTCTTTAAAAAAAAAATGCAATATTAGCTAGGAGAGTTAAATGTCAACCCACTACTTTTATGGCAATTTGGCTTGAATTCATTTAGATTAATTTAATCACTTACCTGGCAAGGTCCTTAAGCAGTGGTCCTCAAATTTTAGAAAGCAAGGAAGCACCCACAGTGCAAATTTAAATGATCCTAAGCCTTGGCCAGAAAGATAGCATGATAACCTAAAAGATAACCTAAAAGACTAGCATGATCCCTAGACAAAAGATGAATCATTTTGACAGGGCTGGTAAAAGACCTGGATTTCAAGACATTTGGCAGCCTGGGTGGGACACATAAGGCCTGGTCCTGGGCAATCCAGTAAGATAGCAGAGATACATCAAAAGAGAAGTGGATCAGTCCTGACAACAGATGACCAGCAGGGCTCAATTCTCCCTCCTTGCCTTCCCATTGGAATACATATTCCAAATCAATGTTTAAATGAGAGGCAATAGTATTAGGAAATAAGGAAATAATGGGGTATGACCTTGACCAAAAATATCCAACAAATAAGAAAAAACAGAAAACAGCAGTGGCTCACGACTATAATCCCAGAATTTTGGGAGGCCAAGGTGGGTAGATCACGTGAAGGCAGCAGTTCGAGACCAGCCTGCCCAACATGGTGAAACCCCATCTCTATGAAAAATACAAAAATCAGCTGGGCATGGCGGCAGGTGCCTGTGATCCCAGCTACTTGGGAGGCTGAGGCAGGAGAATCACTTAAACCCGGGCAGTGGAAGTTGCAGTGAGCTGAGATCACGCTATTGCACTCCAGCTTGGGCAACAGAACGAGACTCTGTCTCAAAAAAAAAAAAAAAGATCAACACAATATCAGAAGCTATAAACAGTGCCAGGCTGAATACAGATGATAGAGCAAATTGTCTTTAAAATGTACTACCAAGCACCATATTTTTCTTTTGGAAAATAGGTAAATGGTTGGACATTATTGTAATGAAAGATATATTCCCTTTTCTTCTTGCAAAAGTCTTTGTTCAGAGATGAGACTAATGTGCCTTATTTCCACAAGTTTTTTCATTCATTTACTCAGTACCTACGATACCCTAGTACTTGCTGTGAGTGTCCTCCTAGAAAAGAATGTCAAACTTCCTGAGAAAACTAAGGAAGACTCCAAAACTTGGAGTTCTGAAGACATGAATTAAATTCTTAAAGACCTAAATTTTGAAATTTGAGTAAGGGCCAACTAGGTGGAGACAAAACCACTCCAAAAAGATAGAGGAGTTCCTGCGAAGACAGGGTCTGAAAAGAATGCAAGGATTCAAAATAAAACAAATGGCAGCGGATGGAGCATAGCTTGAGTGGAGTCGACTCTGGGCAAATAAGGTCCAATGGTTCCCAGTTTTATGGGGAACCCACTCTCCAAAGAACAGCTTGGAAATAAATGGGATCATATTGGATTGTCAAAAAGAAAGGAAGTTATAGTTTGCCAATGCCATTTAGTGCTGAGGGACCAGGTAAAATAAACATCCTACAATGTGCAATCCACACAGTGAAGAGTTGTCCATAAAAATGCCAGTAGAGTCCCCTTTGAGAAATACTGGGAAGAGATAAGGAATTAATGAAATCTAGAGAATTTAACTCTAGGTACTCAGAATATCCTTTAAAATCTGCGATCACAACCTCCATTTCACTCACTAAATATTTACTAAGTGCTAAAAGATAAACTAAGGCACATTAAAATTTTAAAGAGTTTATCTGAGGTCAGGCACGGTAATCCCAGCACTCTGGGAGGCCAAGGCAGGTGGATTGCTTGAGCTCAGGAATTCGAGACCAGCCTGGACAACATGGTGAGATGCCACCTCTACAAAAAATACAAAAACTATCCTGGCATAGTGGTGCATACCTATAGTCCCAGCTACTTGGGAGGCTGAGATGGGCAGATAGCTTGCACCCAGGAAATCGAGGCTGCAGTAAGCCATAATTGCACTACTGCCCTCCAGCCTGGGTGACACAGCGAGTTCCTGTCTCAAAAAAACAAAAACAAGAAAATGTTTATAGCTGGCGCAGTGGCTCACCCCTGTAATCCCAGCACTTTGGGAAGCTGAGGCAGGCGGATCATCTCAGTCGAGAGTTCAAGACCAGCCTAACCAATATGGAGAAACCTCATCTCTACTAAAAACGTAAAATACCGGGCATGGTGGCACATGCCTGTAGTCCCAGTTATTTAGGAGGCTGAGAATTGCTTGAACTCAGGAGGCAGAGGTTGCAGTGAGCCCAGATCACACCACTGCACTTCAGCCTGGCAACAGATGGAAACTCCGACTCAAAAAAAGAAAAAAAACAAACAAACAAAAAAACCCGTTCATTTGAACAGACAATGGTTAACCCATTTATGCTGGAGGCTGTGTGACAAATCAGACCTTGGCAATGACCTTGAGCAGAATATAAATAATTCCTACAAGCTTAGTGTTCCAATAATGGAACACTAGGCATATTAATGAATTGTGCAGCTCCAGAATGCAAGCAATTTGGCGCTGCACCAAAGGGACACAATTAGAAGGCTTTTGAGGCCGGGGGCGGTGGCTCACGCCTGTAATCCTAGCACTTTGGGAGGCCAAGGTAGGTGGATCACCTGAGGTCAGGAGTTTGAGATCAGCCTGGCCATCATGGTGAAACCCCATCTTTAAAAAAAAAAAAAAAAAGAAGGCTTTTGAAGTCTTTTGTAGAGTGAACACAGAAGCAAGACCAAGAAAATACATGATTGGTCAAAGTGGAGTAGCCTTATTTGGATCATTCCTGTAAGTTGATGGTTGGTTAGTTGGTGCTTTCTGATTGGTTAGGCTAAAGTTTCACTTTCCTAGAATACAACCATTTATACTGAGTTGGGTGTAAGTTTGCTTATGTAGGAACCCAGGGCACTGGAGGCTCTGCAAGCAATGGCCTCCCAATTAATTATTTTAACACAGAAAGCTATGTTTTTGCTGGGCAATAAACATGTTTACTTCTGTCCTTTGACCATCATGAAGCTCAGAACCTTGTGGCCTACCTTTAATAATTGTATAATATTTCACAGTATATTTTTAATTATAACTCACCCTAATCACATCTTTCTATTCACACTTCATATTTTCATGATCTTGATTTCTCTTTATTTTGTATGTTATTATATATCATATGGTTTATAAGCTACCTCAAATACTTTTGGAACAAAATAGAGTATAAATTTAAAACTATAAGCTACAAAAGTAAAATTAAAAAATTGGGGAAAAAAAACTAGATGTAAGATGGGAAGAAAAAAATATATTACACTGAGCCCCCAGAGCATCCTGAGAGGTTTAAGAGATTTTTTTTTTTTAAGGGGAGGGGAGTCTTACTATGTCACCCAGCCTGAAATGCAGTGGTACCATCTCAGCAAACTGCAACCTCTACCACCCCCGTTCAAGTGATCCTTCCACCTCAGCCTTTTGAGTAGCTGGGACCACACATGTGCACTACCATGCCCAGCTAATTTTCTGCGTTTTTTATAGAGACAGGATTTTGCCCTGTTGCCCAGGCTGGTCTCGAACTCCTCAGCTCAGGTGATTGTCTGCCTCAGCCACCCAAAGTGCTGTGATTACAGGCATGAGCCACTGTACCCAGCCACAGTTTAAGAGACTTTAAAAAAGTATAATACACAGTCTTTGCCTTCAATTGTTTGTAATCGATTTTTTTTTCAGAATACACATTCTTCTCAAAGTAATCAAATTTTTAAGATTCAAATTGAAAAGAACATCAGAGAATAATGGATAATAAAAAAACAGTGATAAACTGTACAACCTGTTTAAAGAATTAGTATGGATTAAAATAATTAAAATCACACGTATTACTATGTATTAAGAACTATGGCAACAAATCCTCATAGCAACTTTTTGAGATAAATTACTAGGATTTTCTTTATTTTATAGATAAGGAAATTGAGACAGAGAGAGGGTAACTTGTTCAAGGTAACACAGCTGTTAAGTGTAGCAATTTGACCTAAGACAGCCTGGAACCAGAGCATGTGCCCTACAGCAGTTAGATTTCAGCTAATCCTTGAATTACGGTATAGGAGGATATAGAAAGAATGAGATTGAAGGGATGGGGGCAGTGGCAGTGAACCTCAAACAGATTGAAATGAGGTAGACCAGTAAAGAACCTGAAGAGAGAGTATGGATTGAGAGATATTGGGCATCTAAACTAAACTAAACTAAACTCTTATTATTAAGCACTCTTCCTGGATTTTATAAACCTATGTAATCAGGCAAACCCATTAGAGAAGTCTTGTCTCTGCAGTTTTCAGCAACCATTCCCTAATCAGGATTCCTTCAAGTATAGCTTATTCTCCTATTCTCCATTCCCCAACTTTCTAATTGCTTTATTATACTCAGGCCGATTGTCCCCTCAAAACATTTGTTATCAATAGATAATCACCAAATGATCTCTATGGCTTTTTTTTTCTTAAGGTTCCCTGATTATATGTGTGATTCAAATACAAACTTCTGAGTCCCAAACACATCTCTAGGCTTCAAAGATAATAACCAAATCAAGCCCATCTTAAGAAATCTTTTGTAAGCTTTACCCTACTTATTTTTCCTAAAGGACGCTTTACCTTTCTCAGAAATGTATTAGGCAACAGGAACTACTGTCAACATATAGTTTGTCCCAACACATTATACCTAACTTGAATGGCCCACCATGTAGCAAAACCTCAGTTAACCTTATCCTAAATAAAACAGAAGGTGGCAAGGGAAAAGCAGGGCACAGAGAATATAAACTTTTGACACTCGCATTCAAACGTATGCAGTTTAGAACTACTATTTCAACTAATTTATTCAATTTAAAATATCAATAACAACTTTTAAACTGCAATTTGCAAGACTTTAATTTCTCAATACTCAGGACTTATTTTTTGGTCAAGGTTCTGCAACATTTCCTCTGGTCAATATTTAACCCTTCGGAAGCAATGAGAAACGATTCTACATGGGATCCTATGATGTATTTGAGTACACACAGGGTCTGTGTTCTCCGATCCTGAGACGCATAAACTTGTTTTTGCCACTAAAGAATAGAGACCATCGTCCAATAACAAAAGTTATAAATATGACTCAAAGTGAACCTGCGACAAAGACTTATTAAACTCACAATGGAACAAGCTGAGTGGCTTAGCGCACCCAGAAGCATTTGAGGAACTGAGTACAAACACTGAAGAAAAAATGATGGTATAAGTTTAATAGGTTAGATAGAAAAATGGTTAATAGCCTACAAGGCAATAAAACTACAACCTTTAGGAGTACTGTACTTTTTTCTCTCCCACTCAGAAATAATTTGCATCTCTAGCAATCAAAGATGTTAACTACAAAGCCTTGGTCCTAATCAGTATCATCATGCCAAACAAAATACAGTCCCCTAGAAACCTAAACCATCTTCAGATGGGCCTGTTAAATAGGCTTCATTTTGACTCTAAAAAGACACGTTATCATCCTTTTGCCTTATTTCCAATACTGTTGTAATTTTATCGCCACTAAAAGTTTCTATAAAGCAGTCAACTATTATCATTCTCCCGCCCTCCCCGCCAATTCATGATTTTATAGGTTATCTGTGAGGTATTTTTAAAAAAAGAAAAACCTGTTGGCTCTAAATATCAGGTTATTTCTCCTAATACTTAATGAATCAGAAACTTCAAATTAAGTTGCACTCAGCCACTGGAAGCCCCAGTAATTTAATACTCTTTGTTTCAACATCGCATGGTCAAAGGCTTGCTATTTACTATCAGTATGTGGATTTTAAACACAAGACAGTAACTACCCACTTCGAGGGTGCCGCAGCCTTTGGGTAGTGGCCCAGGAGCGCTGGTGACACCAGGTGCGCGACAAGGGGCGGATCCGAGGGGAAACAGTGTCCTCGCCCTTCCCCGCTAGCCCCAAGCTCCGCGCGGTGCGGCTAGCACAGGCCTGCAGTTGAGGGGCCGCTTCCCCAGCCTTTTGTTCGGGGCTGAGCTGTTTCCCGCCTACCCGCGCGCGCCTTTCCTCCCTGTACTAGGAGTAGGGCGAGAACCGTGTGGCAGCAGAGCCGGAAGTAGGCGACCGGCAAGGACTGTGGGAATACTCACCCGGCTCCGCTCGGCCCCTGACCCCGCAGCCCAGCCCGGCGAGGGCGGGGCAACGGAGCCAAGGGGAGGAGAGCCGGGGAGAGGGACTCAGCTTCCTGCGAGGACACCGCCGCGCCGGCGGCCCTAGCGAGCTGAATGATGGGGCTGTGGGGACCTCGAGGGCGGTGGATGAGCATAGCCAGCGCGCCTCCAGGCCAACCAGAAGCGACCGTGGCCTGTTTCTGTCAGCGCCGCCGGCGGCCGAAACGGAGCGTGTGCACATGCGCCTTCCCGCGCGCCGTGGGGGCAGCCTAGTGCAGGCCGGTGACGTGATCCGCCGCGCGCTCCGGGCAGGGGTGGGGCTGGGACCCAGGCCAGTACTGGGACGGGGTGGAGAGGTGGAAAGCGAGACCTCCCCGCCGCCCGGGTCCACAGTTGCCAAGGCCCCGCCTCTCGCTTCGCCGGTAGATCTCACCCCCTTCCCACCGCCACTTCCCACCGAACGCACGCGGTGCCCTCCGCGGAGCACAAAGACGGCACGTTTAGGGGAAAGCGGGTTCCTAGCATCTCCCTAAAAGGTTGGAGAGCCATACCAGCATGCACACACTGCAAAAAGTCCTGTAAACACAACAGTTAAGCACAAGCATGGCTACCCCTTGAAAACTTACGGATGGAGGGAGAAGTTAGGAATTCGAAAATTGACAATAGTACCATCTGTGGCACATATCTCAGAGGAGGAAAAAAAAAAAAAACCTCTAGCAGCAAAATTAAATTGGGGCGAAACGATGGGGATAAAGACTAGGAAAAAAAAAGTAGGAGTAACAGGGGTGATCGAACTGAAATAGCAGACATCTGAAAGAAAACTAGCATCTGCTCCTTTTAACAACAGAGTTAAATTTGTTGGAAATGAAAGGGAAAAAATGCAGGCGAAGAAGTGAAAGGAAAACCTGCCTTCAAACTACATGGCGTGGTTTTGATCTTGTACTACAGTTGTGTAAGATGTCACCATTCGAGGAAACTAGGTGATAGGTACGTGGGACTCTAGGTGTTGTAGTATTTTTGCAATTTCCTGTGTCTATAATGATTTCCAAATAATAAGTATTTTTAAAAGAGAGAGAATGCTGATGAGTGGCGACCAGGGCGAAGGCCTGGAGGATAGGGTTGACTTAAAAAGGAGCTTGAGAGCTTCTATACTGTGACTGCTGGTGACTAAACCACTGTTTGTCAAAACCTATGAGGTATAAATTTTACTGCATGTAAAATACTTTAAAACTCAAAATGATGCAACAAATAAAAATGAACTTACCCTAACATTTTTTAGCAACTATGGATATAAATTAATTGGTAACTGCCAATTTAGATTATCCGTTTAATTTTTTAAATAACACAAGGCAGTGTGTTGTAAATGAGAGTTTAAGTATGTGTCTCCATCAACTTTAAATATTTACCTTAAAAACATATTTCACAAATGAAAACAAGAATGCAGCTGGGCACAGTGGCTCATGCCTGTAATCCCAGCACTTTGGGAGGCCGAATTAGGAGGATCACTTGAGTCCAGGAGTTCGAGACCAGCCTCAGCAACACCGAGGGACTTCATCTCTACAAAATGTTTTAAAAATAAGAATAATTTTTTTAAATGGATCCATTGCTTTACATTGTATTCAATATTTTAGAAACAGTGCGTCAACTACCATGTTAATTTTAAAAAATATTTTTTGCACTGGAGGTGTTTTAGAGTTTAATAATTCACATGCCAAAAACAAAGAAACTAAAAGAAATAACTCCGTTAACCTCCATGTACTTCCTCTCATCATATCCCTCATGGCAAAGAATGATATTGGCCTAGTTATGTGTTTACCCCATAATTGTATAAAGTGCTTTAAGGCTGCAGTCTGTCATCGTAGCATTTCTAGGCTCAAGCAGAGCTCCTGTACCTCCCCTCTCTGATCACTGAAGTTCACTGAAAAATTTACTCACAAAGGGCAGAGTAATTGGAGGAAAGGCATGCAAGTATATTTAGCATGTATACACGAGAGCCTTCAGAATGAAGACCCAAAGATACAGGGGAAATTGTATGTCCATTTGTACGTCCCACGAAGAAGTATGGACAGCAGTGTAGAAATATGATTGGACAAGAGGGTATGCTCTAATGCTAACAGCCTGAGTGGGGAAACCCAGCAAGGCCTGTCTGTCTAGATTCTTCTTGGCACCTCTGGGCATGCATTCCTTCCTTCTGGGTGTGGGGCAGGACCCTCTCTGCAATGAAGGTCTTAGGACCTACAGTCAGAAAAGATAGATCAGATAATTTCTTTACGGCCAGTTTTTACAAAGAAAGACAGGGGATAATTAAAGTAGTATTTCCAGGATTTATGGCCGGCTTTGGGGAAAAGGGGTTCTGGTTTCTATGGCCTGCCTAGTTTCTATGGCTAGCCTCAGGGAGAATGGGACTGAGAGACAGGAAGGCAGGAGAAGGTCAGAGAAAAACATTTGCTTCTGAGGCTGCTTCTGAGGGCTTCATTGTGAGGTATTGTTTTCTAGTCCTAATATTCCTAACTAGTAATAAGTATTCGATGAATAAAACAAGGAATTGATCACAAAAAGAGCAAGTTAATTTTTTTTTTTTTTTTCCAAAAGATGTGGTTTCACCATGATGGCCAGGCTGATCTTGAACTCCTGACCTCAGATGATCCACCCACCTCGGCCTCCCAAAGTGCTAGGATTACAGGCATGAGCCACCGTGCCTGGCCAGAAGTTAAAATTTATTGAATGCTTACCATAGTCCAAAAGCTTTATATGTACATAATCTCATAACTTCATGACATACCCATTCTATAACGATATCTTAATTATTAAATCCCTTTTAATACTTATTTTATTATATTTTTGTTTCATTTGGACATGTTGTTCATTTCTAAAAAGTCTTGCTTCTTTTAGCTTGAGTAAAACCCACAGTGCCCTGATTTTCCTTCCAGCTCTGCGGCTACTCTTGTTTTTTGAGAGAGTCTCGCTCTGTTGCCAGACTAGAATGCAGTAGCACTATTTCGGCTCACTGCAACCTCCACCTCCCAAGTTCAAGCAGTTCTTCTGCCTTAGCCTCTCTAGTAGCTAGGATTACAGGCACCTGCCACCATGCCCAGCTAATTTTTGTATTTTTAGTAGAGACCGGGGTTTCACCATGTTGGCCTGGATGGTCTTGATCTCCTGACCTCATAATCCACCTGCCTCGGCCTCCCAAAGTGCTGGGATTACAGGAGTGAGCCACCACACCCAGTTTAGTCACTCTTTCTTTTTTTCTTTTTTTTTTTTTTTAAGGCAGAGTCTCTTGCTCTTTCACCAAGGCTGGAATGCAATGGCCTGATCATAACTTACTATAACCTGGAATTCCTGGCCTCAAGCAATCCTCCTGCCTCAGCCTACCAAAGAGCTGGGATTACAGATGCAACTCTTCTTTTTTCTCATTATTTTAGGCTTTTGTTTGTCCATTATACTTTCATGTTCATGTTTCACACAGAGCCTTCTAGAAATTGAAACTTCAGCTTTTTCGGTTTTTGTTTTAGTTTTCTGATACTCATGTAAAAATTTTTTAATTCAAAATAGGGTTATACTAACTGCATCACATTCAAAGTCATTTTCCTTTAACCAATAAATACTTTTATTACCAAAAATTACAATGCAGTATAAATATGTCTTTCAAGAGACAATTACAGGATTTACTTTAAAATAATAATTCATATATCAAAACAGCATGGTACTGGTACCAAAACAGATATACAGACCAATGGAACAGAACAGAGGCCGCGGAGGCAACACCACACATCTACAACCATCTGATGTTTGACACACCTGACAAAAACAAGCAATGGGGAAAGGATTCCCTGTTTAATAAATGGTGTTGGGAAAACTGGCTAGTCCTGTGCAGAAAGCAGAAACTGGACCCCTTCCTGACACCTTACACTAAAATTAACTCCAGATGGATTAAAAACTTAAACATAAGACCTAACACCATAAAAACCCAGAAGAAAACGTAGGAAAAACCATTCAGGACATAGGCACAGGCAAGAACTTCATGACTAAAACACCAAAAGCATTGGCAACAAAAGACAAAATAGACAAATGGGACCTAATCAAACTCCACAGCTTCTGCATAGCAAGATAAACAATCATTAGAGTGAACCAGCAACCAACAGAATAGGAAAAAAATTTTGTAATCTACCCATCTGACAAAGGGCTGATATCCAGAACCTACGAAGAACTAAAACAGAATTACAAGAAAAAAACAAACAAACCCATTCAAAAGTGGGCAAAGGACATGAACAGACGCTTTTCAAAAGAAGGAATATATGAGACCAACAAACATATGAAAAAATGCTCATCATCACTGATCATTAGAGAAATGCAAATCAAAACCACATTGAGATACCATCTCACATCAGTTAAAATGGTGATCATTAAAAAATCTGGAGACAACAGATGCTGGAGAGGATGTGGAGAAACAGGAACACTTTTACGCTGTTGGCGGGAGTGTAAATTAGTTCAACCATTGTGGAAGACAGTGTGGCACTTCCTGAAGGACCTAGAAATAGAAATTCCATTTGACCCAGCAATCCAATTACTGGGTATATACCCAAAGGATTATAAATCATTCCGTTATAAAGACACATGCACACGTATGTTCACTGTGGCACTGTTTACAATAGCAAAGACCTGGAACCAACGCAAATGCCCACTGATGATAGACTGGACAAGGTAAATGTGGCACATATACACCATGGAATACTATACAGCCATAAAAAATGATGAGTTCGTGTCCTTTGTAGAGACATGGATGAATCTGGAAACCATGGTTCTCGACAAACTGACAGAAGAAAAGAAAATCAAACACCACATGTTCTCACTCATAAGCAGGTATTGATCAATGAGAACACATGGAGATAGGGAGGGGAGCATCACACACTGGGGTCTGTTGCGGGGGCAATAGGGAAGGAACAGTGGGGG